GACCATAGCACAACACTGGCTCTAAATTCCAAACAGCATAAATTGTCTTCACAGGTGCAAAAGAGCTTAATTCAGCCAAAAATGAAATTTCTGACATTAATTACTCATCCTCAGTATGAAAAAATAATAAATCAAATTTGTTCAGTATTTTGCGTCAAAAACTCTTAAGACTATGTTCAAAAGTTTGGGGTCGGGTTTTTAAATAAGTTTCTTATGCTGCTCACCAAAACTGCATTTAGTTCATAAAAAATACAGTAAAACAGTAATTTGTGAATTATTATTACAATTTTAAATAACTGTGCTATTTTAGTGTCACATGATCTTTCATAAATCAGTCTAATATGCTGATTTGGTGCTTAAGAAACATTTCTTACTTTCAACGTTAAAAAGCAGTTATTAGTATGTTTTTTTATGGAAACCATAATACATTTTTTAAGATTTGATTAATAGAAAAGTTCAAAAACAACATATACTTGAAATCTTTTGAAATAATGTAGAAGTATTTGTCACTTTTGATCAATGTAATGCATCCTTGCTGACTAAAAGTATTCATTTCTTACTGTAATAAATTATTTAAAAGTATTAAAATCTTTTTGACCCCAATCTTTTGAACAACAGGGTACCTGCGTTTAAAATTTTCCTTTAGCTATCTATAAAAGCAGTAAACTGAGTGTATTTAGCTTGTTCAGGTGTTGAAAACCGGTCAGGTTTGTGTCTAAAACTACAACAAAAAAGGGAAAAAGTATATTGTGAGAGAATATTTGAATGCACTCCATATAGCGTGTAAATCAAACAGGAAAGCATGAGGTTTCGCCACACATTGCTGTATGACCTCTTTGAATTCTGCATATGTCAGATAATGGTGGAAATTCTGAATCTTGTGATCGCAGCAAACCTGGTCCCCTTGAACAAAGAAATGAATTACGCATAAAATATGCACGGCTCCATGTTCATATGTTTACTTTGGCCACACGTCGCACCTTGCCATGAAGCTCTGTGCTGTTACAACAAAGACATTTGTTCTGCATCTGATTCTGCTCAGAACAATCCTAGTAATTACGGTGCAGTTTCCTCCGCAGTTTTGATCCCTAATTGTGAAAAGCCTTATTTCTGACCACACATGAGAACCGTACAGATAGGTGAACGCTCTCCTGCGAGTAATCACTATAAAGTCACCGACCAAGAAGTTGAAGGAGAGTTTAAGATAGCTATCTTTTTCTGGCTAGGCTTGTGTGCATGGGATAAATGTTTCATGTGTGTGTGCGCGCATGCAGTGATATTGACATGGTTCTGATTGACCGGAAATGTTAAATAAGCATCTCTGCTATGAAAAGGGTCTCCCTCCCCCTCTCTCTCACCACATGTGAAACCACACAACGTCATGACAACTGCCAAAATAAACCTCAGCATCCTCCAAAAGGAGTGCGTGTGTGTGTGCTTCCCTGTCGTGCAACACGTCCGTGCTGCGGTGTATTTAATAACCTTTTGCAAAATCAATAAAAAGAATGTGTTCAGTGACACCGCAGAAATGAATTTCAGCTGCCAACAGCTACACCATAACCATCAGAAGATTCCCTAAATTTCTCTCAAGAAGTTTTAAGTTTAAAGTAAAATATTTTGATGTGGAAAAAACGTTATTTGAGCAGAAAAGGCTTTTCTCAACTCCTGTATTAAGGTTAACCCTTTCTAAACGTTTGAAAGCACTATGCCAATATTTTCCAGTAGCATATTGTGTCATGTTACACTGTTAATAAGCATTTCTGGTCATATCTTTAACGCTGCAGCTATTAAAGTATGACTCAAAAGCGCTAAAAGGAACAGTTCATCGAAAAATGAAACTTATGTCCAAATCTTTGTGATTTTCTTTCTATCGTGGAACACAAAAAATGTTTTAAAGGGGTCATCGGATGCAAAATTCACTTTTGTTGTTGTTACATAAATGTGTGTTGGAAGTGTGTGTACACATCCACCCTATAATGATAAAAATCCACCCAGTGTTTTTTTAAAAATCCCCTTTCTCAAATCAGGCTGTTCTGAGATTCCTGTCAGAATGACGTAGTTCTGTACAGGCCCCTCCCACGATAGTTGATTGACAGTAGCGTTTCAGCACAGACTGGACTGGTGTCTTACCTTAGACCTGCCCTGAGTGAGCTGTCATCAGTCTGCTATTGTGTCGACTCCGGTGCAGGGGAAGACAAGAATGTCTCAGATTAAGCGATTGAGGTGTTTTGTTGTTGGATGTAATAATGAATATAGCAGTCGTCATTTACTCCAGACATCTGAGCCGCTGAAGACGCAGAGGATTAACTTTACTTTCGTTCTGAAGTGAATGCGTCGATCCCCGATCTGCCTAAATGCGTCTATGTTCGCGCAAATCATTCGTGATCAAGCTTCATCTACAGTAGAAGTGAGTATAAGGGTTTTTTAAGAATCTTTGCAAATCGCCTTTCCTAATAACGTGCTAGTTAGCAAATTCCGTGGTTAAAGTAAACAGTATCACGAGAACGGCTCGTCACCCCACGGAAGAGAGGGGTGGGGTCAGCAGAGCTCATTAGCATTTAAAGCAACATGGACTAGAACCACGTGCTGAAAACAGAGCTGATTTTGACAGGGTAAAAAGGGTGTTTTTTACACTACCATTGAGAAATTTTAACCAAACTATGTAGAGGGGCGGGGTCAGCAGAGCTCATTAGCATTTAAAGCAACATGGACTAGAACCACGTGCTGAAAACAGAGCTGATTTTGACAGGGTAAAAAGGGTGTTTTTTACACTACCGATGAGAAATTTTAACCAAAGTATGTTATAGACTTTTCATTAAGACCCTAAAGAATCATATCAACTTCCGATGACCCCTTTAAGAATATCCTGGCCAGACTTTTCAATATAATGAAAACGAATAAGGACTGGGGCTTTCAAGCTTTAAAAAGGATGCAAAACACCATAAAAGTAGTCCATACAGCTAAAACACTATATTCCAAATCTTCTAAAGCCATACAGTAACTTTTTGTGATGAACAGACTGAAATTGACCTGCCGTGAAATGCATTATCTGTCTTTCAAAAACATGCCTTTCCATACTGTAGTAACAAATTCATCCTTTGTTACATTTTACTATTCTTGTCTCTAACTTAGTTATTCAGCAAATATAAATAGATAAGCCTCTATTAAAACATGTATGTCAATTGTTTTACACTCATGTAAGGTTATAGCTAAGCTAAGCAACATCATCATCACTTAAAAAAAGCTTGCTTACAATCCTACACGTCATAAACCTGGCTTCCGCTGTGATTTTTAAAACATCTCCAGTCTGACAGAACCATATTGTACAGCTTTTGCCAATTCAGTTCATCATGAGTGCCAATTCTCATCACCAAAATGTGCCAAAAAGGTATGTGCATGCGTTTATGAATTTAACAAATTGTTTGAGAATTTTCCTGACACTGCTATTCAGCAGTGTCATTCAGCAAACCTTGCCATTATAAATACAAGGATGTTCCACTGGAATTCCTGGGGCAAATTTCCAATCTAATGTCCAGAATGATTGGTAGCTTAACTGAGAAAATATTACTCTAACATTTGGAATCCAACAAGGTTGATTTTACTAGTTTGAAATGTCACTGGTCATGCATGTATATGTAAACAAACAACCACAGATTGGTAAATTTATAGTCCAACTTTGATTTGTTGTTAGATGAGCTAGGTCTATTTCACACTGTATGAGAAAGCATCACATACAATATAGGTTACAATATTCCCAAGCAATGGCACTGCATATCAGAAGTGTAGGCATGAGTTGTGTTTCAGCTCTGAACCTATTTTAAAAATTTGAACCACACTAAACTTAGTGGAAAATACTTCCAAATTTCTTGCAGATATAGTGCTGGTGTGAAAGCTTTAGCAGTTACTGTTGAAACAATGTGAAACTCTGTGAAACAGGCCTGACTTTCAAATTCATTTCAGTGCAAGCAATGTAAATCACCATTATATGAGTAAAGAGAACTTATAGCTCCTCATTTAAAAGGCTGGCTAGCCTGGCCTATTACAAACTGACAGCTAAGATCAGACACTTACACACAATATTACATTATGATAAAAGGAGTTTTCCAAAGTCTAATAATGCATTAGGTAAGTACACACCCAAAGCAAAGCAAACATTATGACCTTCTACCTTCAAAACTACGCAAAAGGTGGGTGTAACATATACAAACAATCACAATACCATGCAGTGAGTTACATCATCATTACACAAATGTTACCATTATATTTCCACAAGCAGGTTTATAGTAAAATAAGCCATTGTATCTAATATTTCCCAATTCTTACTATTACTATTTATACTCCTTCCGTGCCATTATTATTAGCTTAAAGGGGAAATGTTACTATGACAATACAGGTAAATGTCAACACTGATAGCACCTGTTGACAACCAAGAATGTGAACTATCTTCTCAGAAACTGACATTCAGGGAAATTTTAGTCCCACGTACACACTTAAAACAAAGACAGTAGAATAATTTTCACAATTTTATGTCATGAGATAACTAATTAAAGGAAGAAAACATCTCGCAGTGCAGTTAAAGAGATAAACAATGTCTCTGCAATCACAAGATATGCAGTTGTGCAAATACACTGAATGTCTATATGAATGTATCGGTGCTATTACTATTCTGTTAATACAATATGTCACTTTTAAACCGTTATTGCATGAGAACTGTGTTTACTATGCACAGAGATATGAATCCCCACATTGCGAATATGAACTTTGCAATGGTTTTTAAGAACGTGTCGTTGCAGTTTCTGTGCAAATGCTCTGTTTTAATGAAGTTTGATGCTCAGTGTTGTTTTATTCTGCATAAACATATCCTTGAAGGCCCTGGCCTTTGATCGCTCTGGTATTCCTATTGGCTGAAAATAAAGTCGTAATCCGACTGCACGGAGAGCCCATTGGGTTCCTCTTTTCTGCACGAAATAATGGAAATAACGGAACATCTTGTGCCTCACCTTCCAGAAATGTCCCCCGGCTCGATCAGAGGACTCTTGGTTAATTTGGATCATGCGCCACATTAATTAGGTGAGTAGATCGACACATCTTCATAACTGTTTCTCGACAGCCATTTTTGGGCGAGACCTCAAGTCCCAAACGGTGGCTGTTACAAAGTGGAAGTGAGGGGTATTTATCTTAAACGCAATATAGAGAATCCGAAATCATACATTTTAATACAAAATAAAATACTTTTTGTTGTAAAGCGTAATATTTAAGCAAAACACCATCTATGTTTGCTTATTATCAAAGAACAAAGTTCCACATCCACCCCTTTTAAGAAAAATGGTACGGCTCAGGCAACACCGGTTTACTTCCGTGAATACAGCCAATCAGAGACGATTAAATTGTCACTCTCCAATCAGAGCACCGCCTACTTTATGACGAGCGTACAGTCGGCGTTTTTTATCAGATTCAAGGAACTGCGGGAAATCTGAGGCAGACGACGTCGTCAATTGAACAGGGATTATGCTGTAATCTTCTTCATGCATGTAAAGAGATACTGCACCCAAACAATACCAGTGCAATAAGACTAGCGCTATAGGTTTTCAGCGGTTATAGACAGCGTTGTATATCTAGCCTGCATATTTAACTAACGTTACATTAGGCTATAATTAAACTAGAAACTAGATAAGATGAGGTTGGAACTGCTGAGATAGTGAAAGTGAAGGAATGCACAATAAAAGACTACAGGTAAACAAACGACGAGTGGCGGATTTATCAGTCTCACTCATCAGCTCTCACTCTGGTGTGTGGTAAACTGTCTGTATAACTCAGTTTGTTCTGTGTATGCAGACACTGCACTGTAGACTAAGTGACATGTCACTAAAAAATGAAAATACTGTTGCTGTTCTACTTACTGTGACATAAAATGGTTGCTTAGCAGAATGTCCAAGCTTCATTTTTCTATACACCAGTGGGGTCCAAAATCTAAGATGGCTAGATAATTTAGATTTTTTTTTGCTTTTGCTTTTATAGTTTTAGTATTATTTTTTTTTTATTAAACTTTACATTTATTAAAACTTTATTAAATTAAATTTCAAACTTGTATTATAATAATTTGAATGAAAATCTTAAATTGCTAAATTAACATGAATTAAGATTTTCTTAGTATTTGATTTATCTTCCTTTTGCTTTAGCATCACTCATATAAGTTTACATGGTCAGTGTCACATTTTTTACATGCATTAAATTATTTTATGCCATTATGTTTCTTCTTAAAGCTAAACATTTTGATTCCAGTTCTCTATGTGCTTATAAACTGAAATTGTCAGAATATTTTGGTTTATTCAGCCATCTTTTAGTTTGTCATAGTCATGCATTAATGTTGCTGGCAGTATGTGAGAATGTGCATGTACACTCTCAGAAAAGATTTGCAAAATTGTACCTTTAGGGGTACAACTGCTTGTCATTACCTTAAGAGTACATATTACTACTCTAATGTACTAATATGCACCATTTAGGGGTAAAGGTGTCCCTTTGAGGGTCCTGCCCCAGTGACAAGCTGTTATACAATTGTTTTACAATTATACATTTTGCAAAAAAAATTCTGATAGCATATGCATAATGTTTAGATGGAACTTTTCACTTGTGTTTCAAAATGTAAAGACATATATTTGGCCTTTTGGCTTTATTGGGACAGTGCAAGTGTAGAAAGGAAGCATTAGGAGCGGTAAAAGGGGAACAGGGTTTGGGAAAAACCTTGAGTTGGAGACTTAAACTTGGGTTACCCCAAAGCACTGCTAAATATCAAAGCACTTCCCACAAAGACTCTGACTCAGGGTGAAACATAAACACTTATGTGCTTTAGATTACAAAAGTAATATATTTGAATAAATTACAAATTGGTATTTAGACTCCAAAGCAACCTTGAACGTAAAAATTTCATTTGTCAAGAACCATTTAGACAATTGTATTTATATAGGAGTGGCTCACGGTCACAGGCTTTTCCCTTTTTAAACACAGTAGGAGGTTAGTTCATTTATGTGAACAACATGTGGCCTTGCAAAAAACATTCAGAGAAAGACCTCTCCAGCATCTTCAAATTAGTGTTAACCCAATGCTTTTATTGTGTGCCATCAGCAAACAGACACGTGGCCCAAAATATTTTTCATGAGCAATGGGAAATTTTGCCTTGTGCATTTTAAAGTGTACTGTATTGTTACTGACTAAACCTCATACAACCTTGAAGTACTTGAACCTTAATGTAATTTCAGCAGTTACCTTCATCTTTCTTAACATCAGACTGAGAGAATGTGAGTTCCATAGTTCAAGGCTTAGGCTGGACTATAAACATAGAGAGAATCAATGACACTCCTTCTGTTGTAAACAATGAAATGCATTCACCTGCCCTCATTCTACATCTCCTTAATAAATAGCAAAATGAAGCACTTGTCCATTCAAGCCAAAGGGCATCCAGATGGCAATAACTTGTGTTTACAAAAAGAAAAAGCATCAGTAAGAAGTCAGATAAAAATAAAAGGTTCTCTTAAGCTAGTTTCTTTACAGTTTCTCTCTTTCCCTTCTCCCTCACTTGTCTCAGGCATATTTGTAATGGTTTATGGATGTCTGTTCTGTAACAGGAGCCATTTGAATGTTTTTGTCTGTGAAATCTGTCATGGTCATTAGAAAGGCAGAGAAAAGGTGAGTCAGTGAATTGTTCCACTGGGGCCAGCAAGTGTGATGACCGGCTGTTCATCAGCCGTCGAGCATAAAACCGAAAGCTTACGGGATTCTTTTTCACTCGGGTTGATTTCAAGGAAACTTGCATTTTGGCTTCTTCTGAAAAGCTCTAAATGCCACATTGAAAGTGGTAGTGGAGAACTTCCTCAAATAGTTATTTTGCAGCCTCCAACTTTGCCCTCTGCCATAGCAGAAGTACACCTGACAGCTTTTCAGTTACGTATCATCAACCAGGGTTTTTTCTTTTTCGGTTATGTCTTCTGACGTTTGTCCTTAGCACCCACAAAGTTGACACTAGGTCCATGACATGGGCTAGTCAAATGCATGTAGTGAAAAAAGCAGTGAGTGTCTTTTCATTTATTTGGCATGCTTTCCTTTATTTCTTTTCTCTCTCTGTACACATTGTAAGTTATTATGGGTTGAGACTGAGAGGCTGAATCTGTAGCTATTGGAGCTTTCATGACCGCTAGACCCATATGTCTTGCAATTTTTGAGAGCAGATGTGTGTGTAAATACATGGTATTGCTTGAACAGAGGCACTCTGCTTCTTCTAACTGCTGTAAAAATATTTTTCTCAGAAGACCTTTTCTTCATGTAATTCTACCTGTTCATTCCTACCTCTGTTTCATATCATCCCCTAATATTAATCTTTGGTCAAGACTGTGTAATGAGTAGCCCATGTGCTCTGTTTACCGTACATTTTTGTATCTTCTGAATAATATATAATAATTCACCTACCAACAGTGGACATAGTACTTTTTTTGATCTGCGTAAAAGAAGAAGTAAGGTATATGTGAGAGCTTTTTCTTCTTCCTCAAAGGTGCACTTGGTAATTGTTGTGGTTTCTAATGATGATGGATATAGCAGTCACTTTAGATTAATACTGACACTTGTCGGTGTGGATGTTGCATACAACAAATGTTAATATTATTACCATTGCACGTAAAACTGCACCTTGTTTATTATGAGAGAATTCGCGAGAGAGCATAATTCAGCAAACGCGCGCACTGAACAACAAAACTCCGGTGTTTCAGCGATGACTCATCTGAATGCCTCTGATTGGCCATTGCATTCATAAAGTCAACGGAATTGTGTGTGATTGGTTATAACGCGTTACACTGTAAAAACGCGGAAAAAGAAATGAAGAGTTTGGTTCCAAAACATGATAAACGCTATTTTAAAAAAAAAATGTAGTTCTCGCCAAAATCAAACGCCAGTCTCCCTTCTCTGCAGAATACGATACATCCGCTCAACCAATCACAGCGCACCATTCCACGCATAGTAAACAGTAACTGACAAGCTACGCAATATCGCGTTCATAATCGAAGGCAATTCATCTGCGATTATGAACGCGATATTGCGTAGCTTGTCAGTGATCTACGGCTCTGTGTATTAAATGCTGCTCCATCTGAAAGCATGTGATGGAGATTTACTACTAATCACAGAACACCGCTTTACTGACGAGATGCGCATGACAATCGCATGCGATTTATCGTGCAGCCCTAAAAAAAATTATTAATTTTGATGGCGTTGATGAACCTGTGGTGGTTTCTGCGATGGGGAAGAAACGTAAGCCATTAATAAGATTAGTATTGACCAAGTTCAGAGGCTGTCATATGTGGATCAACTTACTTTGTTGTGTATTTGTATGAAAAATAACTTCTATATTGATTCAATGGATTTATTGCATTTTGGGGGGAAAATAATCAGTTTTTATAATAAATCTTTAAAAATGAAAATCTGGATTTGAATTTTTAATGTTATTATAACCTAAAGATGCTATGTGAAAGTTGAAACAGAAAATAGTGGTTTTTACTCAGATTAATCAAAATGGATTTATAGCGTTTTGGAACCAAACTCTTCAAATATGATGGAACAAATAAGCCCTAATATTAATTACATGGCATTACTAGTCTGTTTATAATAATCAGCCACAGGCGATATCTCTATCGTCTATCGGTACAACCCTAATTTGCAGTCAACCATAATTCATTTATTGATATTTTTGATTATGTTTACTAAAATCAACATGGTGGCCACCATGAGACGACCCACTCCAAAAAATGCAAGTGCCTGCTTGTGACTGGCGTCTTCCTTTTAATTTTTGATGTGTACGTTTTTAATGAGGAAAAATACATATAAGTGCACCTTTAAAAACTGTGGTTCTGAAAAGAAATAAGCATCGTGCTAATTCGCCAAATCTATCCACAAAATAACAGGAATTCTGAATGACTAAATACCTGAATACTAAACATGGAAATCTCTAACCGCTAATGCGAAGGGGAGAGACACCAGCGGAAAACAAAACTTAGGAAAGTAATAAGGAGGATGTCCAAATGCCTTCTGTGGAAAAAGTTCCTTCACAGAAAGCACCTGGATGATGATAGTTTCTCTCTT